CAGGGAACTAAGATCCCACATGCCAAAGAACGTGGCCAAAAAAAAATTTTTTTTAATTTTTAATAGGAAAAAACTATATTAATCATCCACCCCAAAGTGACTGGGAGATTGAAGAGGGTTTTCCATGGACGCACTCAGCACACAGGAGGAAGCCCAGCTCAGTGCAAAGCTCAGTGCTGCGTTAGTGATGAGCCTCTCCCTCGGAGCCCCTTTTGGGCTTATGGACGCTGCACTGCTGCAGGCTCTCCACCTCACCCCGTCCAGGCTCCCCCCTTGGCCAGGACCTGGGCTCTTACCGTCAGCAGTCTGTGCGTCCATGCACCTCTGCTTACCTGTCTACCTCCCCACCTGTCCGCGGGGCCCTCTCCCCGGCCTCCTCCAGCCCGCAGCGAGGTCCCCAGCCATGTCTCGTGTCTGTGTTCACAGGGAGGATCCTGGTGCACTGTGCCGTGGGCGTGAGCCGCTCGGCCACTCTGGTGCTGGCCTACCTCATGCTGTACCACAGCCTCACCCTTGTGGAGGCCATCAAAAAAGTCAAGGACCACCGAGGCATCATCCCCAACAGGGGCTTCTTGAGGCAGCTCCTGGCCCTGGACCGCAGGCTGCGGAAGCGACTGGAGGCGTGAGGGGGCAGAGGGAGGGAGGGAGGTCAGGCCAGGCCTGTGGGTCCCTGGATCCCAGCTGGAGAGTGGAGGCCCAGGGGGCAGGTTGGAGGCGGCCCAGCGAACCCATTCTCTCCTGAGAGGGCTGGGACGTGGCCCCAGGCCACAGCTGCTGTCTATGGAGGGGGGATGGGGTGAGGCTGGGCAGTGTGACAGTCACCCAGGAGGGAGCTGGCCAGGGAAGGAGGCAGGTAGGCTGCAGGTAGAAGACAGTCCTGGATCCCAGCCAGGGGGGTCCCGGCGATTCACAGCCCCTCTTTGTGCTCAAGTGCTCCCCTTGTCCGCGTATCAGAACAAAAGGACCAGCTCTGCCCTGTACCTCTGCCAGGAATCAGGGATGCGGCGAACACAAACGTGATGGTGTCGAGTTGTGTGGAGGTGGTAGCTCAGGGACAGACGGTGAAGAGAGGGTGTGAAAAGCTAAGGGAGAAACCCACAGACTTGTTACTCCAAACCCGGGAAGAAGAGGCGTGGGAGGCTTGGCACGGCACCCATGGGTGCTGGTCGTGGCCCAGAACTGCAGAGGTGCATGACTGGGAGCCTACAGATAATCCCTCGCTTACTGGATCCAAGTGTCTCCAGGAAAAATAAAAATGGTGAATACGAAGCAAGCCTCTTGAATTACTGACAGCTTGTACGAGGTCGGAACCTGTCCCCTGAGAACAGTTCCTGACTCCCTCCTAGGGTCGGTCATAAGCCCTCACTGGTCTTCACATCTCCACCAGTTCCTAAGGGAGGTTTCTCCCCAGTCCAATTTTACACTCCTGGGGCAATGGGTATCTTGAATTTATTTCCATTTATGTCCACACGGGGGAAGCAGAGGACCAAAAAATTCAGATTTGCAAACTGTGTTAGGACTCAGCGCACACCCTGCATCTCCCAAGCTTAAAATAGGTCTCTTTACAAGCTCAGGTGTGTAAGAAATATAACTTATTTTCAAAAAGTCAACCTGATTTCTATATCAAGTCCCCCATGCTAGGAGGAGAGCAGAATATTCATCTTAAATCAATCCCAGCCCTAAATCCCACATTCATGGGTTTGGGTTTTGCCTGGTACCAAGAAACTGGAGGGGAGGGGAGGAGAGGTGATGTGGTCGCATCCTCTTCTAATCTTTCCAAGTTTTCCTCTGAGGAGTGTAACATAATCTCCTTAGTAAATTTAGTAAAAAGATAAACTCAACCACCAGAGAGAATAGTATGTATGATCTTACATCCCAACTGTCAAACAGCCAGCCACCACATCCCTCTTTTTGAAAAGGGTGTGTTGGACTTCCCTGGCAGTCCAGTAGTTAAGACTCCCCACTTCCACTGCAGGGGGCACGGGTTCTAACCCCGCCCGGGGAACTGAGATCCTGCATGTTGCGCGGTACAGCCAAATAAATAAAATAAATAAAACAAAAGAGGTATGTTCCCAGAACAGAATATCCGCATGAGTGGGAGAAGGGGATGGGATGTAAGAGGAAGTGAAAAATACAGGGGGAAAAAAATCACTTAATATATGTAAAGTGTATATTCTACCCCAAAGTACAGAAATTCAGAATCTCAAAGCCAGAAGTCACCTTCACAGATTAACGATTTCCTCTCCACCAGGACATAAATAAATCGTCTTTTCAATAAATCACTTGACGATAGTTATCAAGCATTAATTTGTTTGGCCATCTTTTTTTTTTAATATATTTACTTATTTATTTATTTTTGGCTGCATTGGGTCTTCATTGCTGCGCACGGGCTTTCTCTAGTTGTGGTGAGCGGGGGCTACTCTTCATTGTGGTGTGTGGGCTTCTCATTGCGGTGGCTTCTCTTGTTGCAGAGCACGGGCTCCAGGTGTGTGGGCTTCAGTAGCTGTGGCGCATGGGCTCAGCTGCTCTGCAGCATGTGGGATCATCCCGGACCAGGGCTCGAACCCATGTCCCCTGCATTGGCAGGTGGATTCTTAACCACTACACCACCAGGGAAGTCCCTGCTTGGCCATCTTTGATGGTTGGGAATCACTGCATAACTCCCACACACAGTATTAGAAAGCTCTAATATTACACTTGCATCCTGTGATCACGTTACAGTGGTGGTGAGATGAGGCCGAAAGATCTGACGGCCTAGGATCCCTGGCCCTGGCACATATCCATCAGGGCACTGGCAATGGTCACTTTACCTCTCTCCCCCTGGTTACATGCAATAGTCTGTCTACTTCCGCAGGGTTGCTGTGGGCATTTAATTGGTTATGCAATGGAAAGTTCTGAGCACACTCAGTACTTAATGTGTTCTTTATCTTGCTACATCTCTCATGGCAGCCCTTCCCATGGTTTGAAGCCAGCTCTTGTGACTCTCCTGTGTCCCCTCACTTTAAGCCTAACAGCTATGCTTGTCTCTACGAGTCCGAATTTGTCATATTTCAAGTTTCCTCCCCAGCCTTGCCAGTATTGGTACTCCTTTCTAATTGTGGCAACCAAAATTAGAACTGGTCTCAATGTTTCAGGCAAGACTTGATCTGTCGGCTGGGACCTCACATTTTTATTATCATCGAGAGACAATTTTATATAAGGGAAAGAGTGAGGGCTTCGCTATGAATGTTGATTCTATTGGGTTGGCCAAAAGTGCCTTCGGTTTTTAACTAAAAATAAAAGACCCATTTTTCATTTTTACCAAGAACTTTATTGAACAACGTGTTCACACTTTAGTTTCACTACCTTCTGCAATTTTTCAGGCAACTTCATAATTCCATCTTCCCAAAACTTCTTATCTTTTTGAGCAAAGAACTGTTCCAAGTGCCTTTTGTGGAAATTTTTTCCATTAAGAGATTTTTGTAAAGACCGAAGTAAATGGAAATGCGAAGGTGCAATGTGTGGTCAGTACAGCAGATGAATCAGAACTTCCCAGCCAAACTGTAACAGTTTTTGCCTGGTCATCAAAGAAACACACAGTCTTGCATTATCCTGATGGAAGATTATGTGTTTTCTGTTGACTAATTCTGGACGCTTTTCAAGTGCCTATTTCAAGTGCTGCTTTCAGTTGGTCTAATTGGGAGCAGTACTTGTTGGAATTAATCGCTTGGTTTTCCGGAAGGAGCTCATAATAGAGGACTCCCTTCCAATCCCACCATAGACACAACATCACCTTTTTTGGATGAAGACCAGCCTTTGGTGTGGTTGGTGGTGGTTCATTTCGCCTGCCCCGATGATCTCTTCCATTCCACATTATTGTACAGTATCCACTTTTCATCGCCCATCACAATTTGTTTTAAAAACGGAATGTTTCATTACGTTTCAGTAGAGAATCGCACGAGGAAATAGGGTCAAGAAGGTTTTTTTCCCACTTAACTTACGTGGAACCCAAACATCAAAGCAATTCATATAACCAAGCTGGTGTAAATGATTTTCAATGCTTGATTTGGATATTATGAGTATGTTGGCTATCTCCTGCGTGGTATAACGTTGATCGTTCTCAGTGAAGTTCTCAATTTGATCGCTGTCAACTTCAGCTGGTCTACCTGACCGTGGAGCATCAACCAGCGAGAAATGTCCAGCACGAAACTTCACCAACCACTTTCGATACATTCGATCAATCACAGCACCTTCTCCATACACCGCACAAATCTTTTTTTGCATTTCGGTTGCGTTTTTAGCTTTCTTGAAATAATAAAGCATAATGTGCCCAAAATGTTGCCTTTTTTCTTCCATCTTCAATATTAAAATGGCTACACAAAAATTCACCAGTTTTGATAAGTCTTTTATTGAATGTACACTGATACGACAACTGTCACGATAACAAAATTGTTTTGAATGAAGTTAAAGACAACTAAGTGCTATTAGAGCCATCTTACGGACAAAACTGAACGAACCTTTTGGCCAACCTAACAGTTAGATTGCATTGATTTCCTGTCAGAACCATAGGCAACTTATGTATAACTAAAAAGACCCCAGAAATAACTCGGGCTCTTAGAAGGACTGACTATAGCTGTGATCTGACCAATGTAGGCTACAACAGAGCTGTCACCTCCTTTTTCCTAGTAAGTATATCACTACTAATATAACCCACAGCCGCAGACCTATTTTTGTAGTCTGAATATGCCTCGGCTAAATCCCTCAGACTTCTTGCAAACTGAATAACTTGAGAACTTAATTCTAACTTCTAGTACAGATGTATAGCTACCAAAGTCTATCTGACCAAAGAACAGCTTTCCAGATTATCCTCATAGAGCAGATCATTCATATATATATATATATATATATACATTTATTATTATTTAACAAAGCCATATTATGGCTCTGCCCTGGCACTCTTCTGTTTTTACAGATATTAAGTCATTTAATCCTCATTTAAAACCCTGTGAAGTGGTGTCACTGTCATTGCTTAGAAACAGGGAAACTGAGGTTAAGAAATGTTCCCAAAGACACACAAATAGCAAGCGGAGGAGCTCAGGTTCAAACATGGCAGCTCTGGCTCCAGAATCTGTGTGTGTAGCCATCACGCTGCTGCGCATCCCTCCACCTCCACCATTTCAGGGTGTGTGTGTGTCTTGGGGGTCAAGGGAGAGAAGGAAAGAGCACAGCCTGGTGATCACACAGATGGAATCAGTCCTCCTACCCTCCAAGGGGAATGAGAGTGACACCTGTCACAGGTGGGTCTCGCTCCCACCTTCCAAAACCGGCATTAAAAGTCCAGACTCCTGGGACTTCCCTGGTGGCACAGTGGATAAGACTCCATGCTCCCAATGCAGGGGGCTCGGGTTCGATCCCTGGTCAGGGAACTAGATCCTACATGCATGCTGCAACTAAGAGTTCACATGCCACAACTAAGGAGCCCGCTGCCACAACTAAGACCCAGTGCAACCAAATAAATAAATTTTTTTTTAAAAAAAAAGATGCTTAAAAAAAAGCCTTCCTCCTGCATCCAGTTCTTGGGCAGTGGACCAGTTGGACCCAAGCCAAGGACTTGAAAATGAACAAGAATAAATATTCTCTTGTTAGCTGCAGCCTGTGCTTCCAGCCGGCTAAGCCTCATGCTCCTGGGGAGCTGCAACGCAAGTCCGTCTCATCATCCTCTCTGCCTGCCTGCCCTGGTCTCCTGATGTTGACTCAAACCCTCCGGCAGGCCCCAGGGCCTTTGACAACTCCGGGGAGAGGGAGGAATGTTAGCCCAGTCCTTCACCCTGTAACTCATCCCAGCTGAGAAGTTCCACAGGGAGCGACAGCAAAGAGAAAACTGCTGCTCCCGGGCCCCGAGGTAGCAGATGGAGCCAGAAGCCAGACAGACAGCTACGAATATCGCTGGCTGGAGGGGGCTCCACACGCACCCAAGGGCCATCGCTCCACACAGACCCCTTAGAAAAGGGAACCCTGGTGGGAATGTAAAATGGTACCGCCACCATGGAAAACAGTATGGAGGTTCCTCAAAATACTAAAAGTAGAACTACACATGATCCAGCAATCCCAATCCTGGGTATTTATCTGAAAATACGAAAAAAGGAATTCAAAAAGACACGTGCACCCCAATGTTCATAGCAGCATTATTTACAATAGCCAGGATATAGAAGCAACCTAAGTGTCCATCCACAGATGAATGGATAAAGAAGATGTGGCTCGTATATACAATGGAATATTACTCAGCCATG